GTGTAGGTGTTCAGCGACATTTGTTTTGATAGGATTTAATGTTTTAGATTTGGGATATATTTAAATATGGAACTACGGTAGAAATGTAGCAAATTGTAGTCTTATTCAGTTTGGTGTTAAATACGTAATAACGTATAACGAAACACGTAAACGTGCAAATTAGTATGTAGTTTTGATGGAGGTTTTTGTGTCTAATAGAGAAAAGAATTGATGTAATTTGAAAGATGTAGTCATTGAATGCACTTTGTGCCAAAGCAACGATAAATGATCCACAGTAGCCCACATAGATGCTGTTGTGCATCGATTCGTTTAAGTATTGAGAAATAGGTCTTAAGTCACTAATATATTGGGTTAATCACAAAAATAGACTTCCTGTCTTAAAGCATTCAGCTTGACACTTTGAAAAACACTTTTGCACCACAATTGATGCAACAAGAAAACAAAAGCTCATTACTGATATTTTAAAAGTTCACTTTTATCTTTAAAATGGTAATTAAATGCCGTTATAAATAAACTTGCTGTGCTTTAACATGGCACATTAAAGACAATACTTTGGAAAATCAAATAAGAAACCCAAATGCAACAGTGTGCATCATCAAAGATAAACAAAATCCTTTATTTTCCATCACCACATGATTAACCAACGAAAGTTTGACATTCAGTTTTATTAGTCGGGCATATCGGAGGACGCTTCTGCAGCACATGAATGAACAGACATCTCCCTCTAGTGACCGATGCACAGATTAAAGACATTTTATTACTCAATTAAAACACACAATAGAAAAGAATAGTACATCTAAAAAGCTAACATGTACACAGAGACTTAAATATTTAATCACAGTTCAATGAAGTAAATGAGACTTCTTGGACCTACCAAACCCCCCCCGACGGCATCTGGACACGTCACCTGTTATTATTACAGTGTCCGAACATCTCCTGTGAGGCGTATGTCATGTAGATGAAGCCGTCTTCATCTTTATGGTCTTTATAGAGCTGAGCCATGGTCAGAGACATGCTGGCGATGCCCGAGTTATTGATCAGCAGGTAGAACGCTTGAGTGGGCATCAGGGTCATTCGATTCCTGAGAAACCAGATCAGACATGAGGAAAAGCCACAGTGTGAGAAAGCGCTTAAATCCAGCCGGGTGACGATCAGCTGACGCCTCAGCAGATTCTTCAGGGCTGTTCACAGGATCTTACTACCAATACTAGTGCAGCATGCAGAACATGGGCAGTACGAGAAACACGAAGTACACATGACCAGTATTATATGCTCTATCATCTACTAATTCTGCCTGCATGCATAGCGTAGATTTAAATATAATGTATCAATGTGAAACTTTAATATATGCACTAATAATATTTGACATTCTATGGAAAAGAAAAATTTACACATGATTTTATTACTTTTCACATTCATAGAATATTTTATAGAGCTGAGCCATGGTCAGAGACATGCTGGCGATGCCCGAGTTATTGATCAGCAGGTAGAACGCTTGAGTGGGCATCAGGGTCATTCGATTCCTGAGAAACCAGATCAGACATGAGGAAAAGCCACAGTGTGAGAAAGCGCTTAAATCCAGCCGGGTGACGATCAGCTGACGCCTCAGCAGATTCTTCAGGGCTGTTCACAGGATCTTACTACCAATACTAGTGCAGCATGCAGAACATGGGCAGTACGAGAAACACGAAGTACACATGACCAGTATTATATGCTCTATCATCTACTAATTCTGCCTGCATGCATAGCGTAGATTTAAATATAATGTATCAATGTGAAACTTTAATATATGCACTAATAATATTTGACATTCTATGGAAAAGAAAAATGTACACATGATTATTACTTTTCACATTCATAGAATATTAATACGATAAAAAGTTATTTTACTCGTTATAATTTAATTGTATTAATGTTTAATTATTTTATTAACGTTTCACATTCATAAATTAAATGCACTAATAATTTATGACATTCTACGAATGCGAAATTATCAAATCTACACATGATTTATATATAATAATTCACATTTACAGAACATTAATACAATAAAAAAAGATTTGTTAGAATTCAATTGTATTAATTTTTTTATGAATGTGAAAATCTACACCACACATTCATAGAATCTTAATACAATTAAAAATAGATCATTTTTATATTTTATAATAATCTCTAAATATAATAGTTAAACATTTTATGAATGTAAAAACTCTGATACACAAAAACCTATTTTATATTAAAGTTTCACATTCATAAAGTCATAACTTACTAATACAACTGAATATACATATATAAATAAATTAACTTTTATTTGTATTTAATTATTTTATGAATGAAACTTATATAAAACACTTCATACAAGTTTAATTATTAAATGAAATACAATTAAAAACTAAAATGTAAATGGGTTTAAATTTAATTTGTATTAAATTTAACTTTTTTTTTTTTTTTAATTGTATTAAAGAATTTCATGAATGCGAAGCTTTAAGAACCCCGCACATTTTGCATATTAGTCGAGTTTAACGTTCATAAATTGTGAAATTAAATAAAATAAAAAAAGGCACACAGTTTTACACCGCTTTATGAAAATAAAAGCTTGTTTAGAGAGAAATAAAAGTTACTTTAGACATTCAGATGAGAATTAAGATCAAGACGACAGACCTGATGATGGTCACGAACTGGCTCATAGTGAGCTCCTGAGGCACGAGGAACTTGGTCTTATCCAGCGGCGGCAGGTGCTTCTCTCTCCGATATCTCTCGATTATCACCTGAAGAAACACTAATTAACGCACACAGCCGGGGATGGATGAACTAAACTCAAACCCGGCGTTTCTTACCGGGATTTTAGTCGGAAACTTCGTTCGGATTCCCGCCACCTCTTGTTTCCTCGTTGCTGATACGTAATCAATATCACAAAATAAATAAAGAAATAAATTAAAAAGCAAAGACAACTTTTGCATTTCACAGCATGTCAGCAGAGAGCCTCGTGTGCGATATAAAGACACATACCTAAACTCTTCCTCTGTTTGAAAGGTTTGGGATGCTGGGTTTTCTCCAGTGGAGGCATGTTGTGTCGCACCTGTGACCCGCGCGCGCTAATTACTCGTGAAGCGCACTAACACTAATTAAATACTGCGCCGGCCGTGACGTCACGCCGCCCACCCTCACCATCTGATAATAATGAAATCAGCAGTTTAAAATCAAAGAAACAATACAAAGAGTTGACGTTTCAGTTTGTATTTGAGTGTTTTTGGTCTACGCATACTAACTGCTATGCAGCCTATAAGTAGCATGCATGCACATTCCTACAATGTCGCAGGTAAATGAGGCTCTGAATGGATCTTTGTGTTGTTCACGGGTTTCACCTTCTCAGCATGCGTGTGTAAAACAGAGGTTTGTATTGTAGTGTTGTATAACAGTTCGTGCATGACATGACCACTTAAACAAATGAATCCATTGCGAAATTATGACACAGGCATTTGCTTGACTCTTCATTATGTTAATGCATGTATTTAATTTGGCCTGCGTTCTTTCATTAATTACTGTACTGTTGTTTATTTGCATATGACTTATTTTATTGGTTATAGAATAGTTTAAAATCTACAAATTTTATTTTATTATTATTATTTTATTTAGGCCTATTTAAATGTATTTATTTAGCCTATTAAAATCGGTATTTTAGTCTTTATTCATGTTGTGTCTTCACTTAGCTGATGTGGTGTGTTTGCAAGATTAGGTCAAACAGTAACTCGGAATGAGAACGTTTGGAAGGAAAAAAGATAAAACGCATCCGAACTGCAAGTCCCAGTATGCTCAGCGCACTCGCCTCTGATTGGCTGTTCACACTGCGAGTTGTTCGTTCTGTCCAATCACGGAGCGTTCCGTGCTGGCAGCGTCTGTTGATCTGCTTGTGGGCGTGAAGTGAGCGGAAACCAGCCTTAAGAAGCGCGATTCATTTAATAGAATCTGTTCGTTCGAACGAGTCGGTTCTTTAAAGGCTTCATTGACATGCACTTTTGTTGTTTGATAAAAAATTTGTTATCACAAATTACATACGTTAAATGTATTTAAGATGCTTAGTGGAAGTCATTTTATCCCCAATTATGTTTTTGATAGATACATTTCTTACGTTCTCCAAAATATTGTAAAAAAATGTTTTTTTTTTTCAACATTACAGTTTTGCGTAGTAACTGATATGACACACAAGCAATAAACAACATTTTCTAATTCTTTTATAAATATTATAGACAGTCTTTATGAGAGACTACACAGAATACTGCATATAAAAATAAACCATTACAATCCAAAATCATTAAAATATATTTATTCAAATTAAGTTAAAGTTAACTGAAATATATATATATATATATATAAACGTGCTTATTTTACTTCAGTTAGTTGCCAAAGCATCATTTTTCATTTTCATTTAGTTTAACTTGATGTACTAAAATAACAAAACTTAAATAAAATGTATAAATACATTTTTTTAAAAGATATACAAACAACAAAATTATTAAAACGTTAACTAAAATTTAAACGAAAAGGAAAATATAAAAATAAAAAACAATTACTTTTTTTATAAAAATGAATAATGATATAAAAAATTAAATATAAGTCATAAAATATACATATAAGTATAAAAAATAATAGCACCTCAATAATACTGAAATTAGCACTGCTACAAAATGGTGAAAAACATCTCAGAATATGCTAACATACACAGAAATCATTTAATTGTGCTAAATACAAAATATATCATTAAAAATAATATTGTATTGATGTACGACATACAGTATGTCACTAAAATATACGTATTTTTTTGTTTTGTTTTTTACATCTTATACATATATTAAAATTCGAGCTAAAAAATTCGAACCGTCCAAATCCATCATTTGTCAGCTGTTTATTTCATTCCACTCCACTGATCGGTTCGACCGGTTCAGTTCAGAGAATCTGCTCACAAGAACGAGTCATTCGCGAATCGAACAGCGCTAGCGGAAACGTCGTGGAGTGACAGCAGACAGCAGCAGCTCGCGGTTAGAGGAGCGCTGCAGCCCGTTTCCCGTTCGAGCACCGAGGCGGATATCGCAGCGAGCGATCGGACGAAATCCAGTGTCCGTGTGGTCGATCAGACCTCCGATTCCCGGCCTAGCCATGGACGAGCAGGCGGGCCCCGGTGTGTTCTTCAACAACAACAACAACAACTCGGTTCTTCCCGGCGGAGCGAAAGCGCCTCAACCAGGCGACGGCGACGGAGAGACGGCCCGCGCTCAGTACAGTATTCCGGGGATTTTACACTTTCTGCAGCACGAGTGGGCCCGGTTCGAGGTGGAACAGGCGCAATGGGAGGTGGAGCGGGCCGAACTGCAGGTAACGCGCCTTTTCCGACCGTTATTTTCTGAGGTGTTTTTAAACGCTGTCCGCCAAAAGTCACAATCAGACATTTGTGGGCTTGTTGTTCTCTCGCGCGCTGACGTTACACACACACACACACACACACACACACACACTCTCACACACACACACTCAC